ACACGTTATATTCAGCTCACAGAAGAGCTCCAACACTAGAGGGCGCGATTTATAGGAATAATCAACAACCATACCAGACATGTACCGTAATTTTATGTTTTTTAGTAAGTTAGCTTGAGTATGGTGTAACTGTATGTGCCATAATTGTTGATAACAGATTATTATGTGGTGTTTACAATTTTGAAAGTTTTAGTATCATGTCGGCACACCATCTAATAACGTTATACGTTACTGATGAGCAAACAAACAAACCAAGTATGTTACATGTGTTGTACATGTTGTCCCATGGGACCCATATAAAACACGACACGACCGACAACCACTGCCCTAACACAAGTAACATTAACAAGATCGTGTTGGTGGTTGTTGTGATATGTCGTGTACGTGATGGGTCCCAAGCAACATGTACAATACGTTTAAAGCGACAGGGTCGTCACCTGTGCACGCGCGGGAATTGTGTCCAAAGCGACGATAACAACACTCGCTAAAAACGCAAAGGCTCATGGGTGGACACTTATTTGTAAACGACATGCTTTTCCCACCCGACGCATGCACATGTGACGACTCCCCAGTTTAAATATACATTGTTCGTTTAAATGAAACCCAAGCGAGTGCTGCAGGACAAATGTGTCACTTTAATGGGCTTATGAGTAAATACTATAAATAGTTCGGTCATAAAAATAATCTGAGGTCATTTGTCTAGTGTGGAGCAAAAGTTTCTAACAAACTATTGATTAAAGGTCGATTAGGGGGAAAATAGTATGCACAGAGAAACTTTTGAAAAAAAAGATTCTATGAGTGAAATTACATAAAACAAATAAAATATATATTTATCCAACACATACTTAAACGAAAGAAGATTTTTTTTAAGCAACATCATTGTGAATAAAAAGAGTGAAAGAAAAGAACTAATTTGCAACTCCAATGGTCAACTTCCTTTAACTTGAACTTGTACATCGGTAATCATGTCACATGGTTTGACTAAATGTTATTTTCAGTTATGTCATTGTTTATGCATTATTGATCAGATTACATGACTGGGCTTATTTTGTGAAATAATTCATCCTATCAGAACAAACTAGACTATGGACAACTTGGGAAAAGTGAGTTTATGAAAAGAACCCACACGTTTTAGCTATGCGAGAGGGAAACAGCGCCACCAAGTGTTGAAAATTACATAATATACTAGTCTTTGTTTATTGGAAGCGCATAGGATGCGGGAGGGAGTTTCTGAAACAAATAACATTATCAGTTGCAAATAATACAGTTGGTCTGGTCAACAATTCTAGGGGGTTGTTCATGATCAATCTATTAGCAACAGGTATGTATGAATTCTAGACTAGTTCACAAAAGTCTAGACCACAAAGGCAAAACAGGCAGACAAACAAAACCTAAGGCCAGAAATAAAAAAAACAAACAGTTTTGCTTCCTACCATCTTGCAGTCACTTCGAAATCTACACCTCATGCATTTTTTTGGCAATTTTGTGCACTGTTAAAGTAGTCATATATGGTAGAATGTGGAAGTGTTTTGTTTTCTGTTTTGTTGCTTTATATCAGCTTTTGACCTTTATCCTACCAGCCCCATGTAAATTTGACTTTGACAAGAATTGACTTGACAAGAATTAATGCATGTATTGAAAAGCATTATTAACTAAATGTTGAACTTGTATCTTGTTTTCTTGCTAGGAAAGAAGGCAAAACATTTTTTTTGGGTCTAAATACTGTCAAAATCCTCATTTACTAGTTTGTAACAAAACAGAGACTACATCATCTATTGTTAATTTCTCAAATTTTTTATTGTACAATTCAGACAGACAAAAAAAAACCCAGGCAATTTAAAAAAAGATGACATAACCAATGTTTTATCATGTACTGGTTAAATTAAGAATGTAAATGTTACAGCAAAAAAAAAAAAAGAGTTAAACATAATTCAATAATGCAGTGATCAGTTGGAGAAGCTTTAAAAATGTTTTCAGTTTCCCCCCATTGCGTAGTCAATTTATTAAATGGTTTTTAGCAACATAACATTACAATTGCTAAGAAACAGTTTCTCTGTAATTTTATACCAGATTTTGAGAACTCATTAAATAAAAATAATGTTGACTATTTACATGTATTAGAGAATCAATTATTGTAAAGTTAAGCATACACAGTATGCTTATTTAAACTGTAAACTGTTTAACTTTCGCTGCTAGTATTTTTCATGATCCTACAATTCAACAGCATAAGGTCCAAATGCAGAACTGAGATAATATTAAAATATAGCAAAAGATTTTTCATTCATTTTCTGTATCTCAATTGCACAAATTATTATTGAAAAGAAGAAAGAAAACATTAATTTTTCGGGTTTGGAAACAATTTATAGAATCCACAGCTTAATTATAATATACCAGAAATAAATGAGTCACAATAACAAGAAATAAAAACATTTGATTTTCTTGCTATTATTGTTACAACCTAAGTTGGCAGTTACATTGAATGGTTTAACAAATTGCCTGCTGAAAGCCTCCAGATATTCAAAACACAGTCCCTCTATCACATGGCCATTTTGAGACCAGTGATAGAGGGACTGAAAGTGAATGGAATAAATCATCAGTAGGTATGGCATTAAAAAAAATGCTTTCCATATACGACTAACGTGTGATATTCTTAACAATCACAACTCATCTGCTTTATCAGTCTGTTAATGATGTGCTAGGTGCACAGCTTGAAATCAAACATACATCTGCCATACTGTGGTTTGCTGGATAGATATTTTGTGGACAATTATATTCATTATTGTATGACCTAGCAAAAATAACACATGATATTACCAGATTGCAGCAAGGAATGATGCGGCACTGTTGGTGGTAGTCCGAAAGATTCAACGTCAGTGCAAAGCTACATACAAGACTGTGCCTGACCCAACCCTCATACCTAACAGTCATAACCAATCAGAGCAACTGTTTTGTTTTTTCAATGTACCAAATTCTGTCCTGAGTACATTTGCTTTGATTCAACTGGATTATGTTAGCTACAACGTTCCGATTTGGAACAAGTAAAACTGGCTGGATCTAGAATGGCTACAACTTTCGGGTAAGCATCATCACAACCATTAAAAATAAATAGAAACTTTCAAGTGACTTGTAATCATGAACATATTATTATAGTTTAAGAGAAAAGAAGCCAGATTTGCATAATAACCCATTATCATAGTCATAAACACTGTATAATGATATATACACAATGTACATATAACTTGCACTTGCTCCATAAGTAAAGTAATTCATGTCTATGATCAAAATAATTTTAAAGATATATAAATGCATTTTTTTTTTTTTGGTTTATGTGCATTTCTATTACAGATACACTTAAGAGGAAATGTGACAGATGCAACAATATTTTTGATTTTAGTAATTATTTTAGGTAATGCACCGTTAGTGAAAACTGCATGAAATGTTCAATGTGTTGTTTGGGATTTTTTACAAAGAATAGCCTGAACATTATTTCAAAGAACTTTAGACAAGGTATCAATAAGCTGCATATATGCAAGCAGATATGTTGAAAACACAATACATGCAAAGAAAACTGGGAATTGTGGTAGATTATTCCAACTGTGAAGGAAATTTACAGCAATGAACATTTTTAGCGACTTTAGAGAAATTCAGTCACATGTGGTTATGATTGAATCATGAACATTTCTGGCGGAAAAAATTAGCCTGTTTCGTAGTCTGTCAGCAGGCAGCTCAAAATGCAGCAATTGTCTGTGATGTGTACCGTTATCTTTTAATGACATCCAGTCAATACACTGTTACTCCAACATGAACCTGATCTTTAAAGATCCATGTCATGTGGCTCTGTGGCAAGATAATTTCTATTGTATGGTGTGCACTATTGCTATGTTCACACGGCAGCATTCTATCGGAGCCGAACTACTGCTCCTCCCACGGATTAACAGGAGATTATCTACAATGCGTTCATACGGTCGGAAGCCGAACGAGAGCCGAGATCTGCCAGAGTTAGATTCAGTTCGATCAGAGCCGAGCGGAACAGTGCCCTTGAATAATTAGTGACTGAAAACGATTTTAGTGTCGTGCTTGTGTTTTTTACTTTACATGGCATGATGCCGTTGAGCTAGGAGAAAAAGGAGCCTGACCATGGAGGTAAAAAGACAATGACTGGTATTTTAAATTTGGTACTAGTATCTCGAATAAACAGGAAACACGGCAGCTAAAATACGTTTAATACAGCCTATTCGCTCAAGTTATTGTCATGCAAAATTACCATTTTGTATCTATTAAAACTCCTAGGAAGAATCACAGATTCTCTCTATCTATCATAGACGGACTATGGAAGAATCTAAACCTACCAGGAACACGTCACCGTACCACGATCGCTTCTACGATTTTTATCTTTAGTGTCTTTAAAAAGTTTCCGTTCAGTCGTTCTTTCAAGTTTTTGTCGCATAATTTCGTACGCCAATCTATCGCAATGATTCGTTACTATGCACTAGGACGCGTATCTCTTATTCAAGCAGGAAATTGCGTGAAATTATGAAAGATGTTGTCTCCACCATAATTGAAATGAGAGGTTACTCGAAGAAGACGATTGAGGGCGTGATTTCGGCTCCGATAGTTGGGCCCCGATGCGTTTACACGTTCGGAGCCATGCCGGGACTCAACCCTATCGGAGTTCAACCCCGAGGGTTTAGTGGAGCCGAACTTGGCTCGAGCCGAACGCGTTCACACGGCCATTTTTGCTTGCTCGAGCTGGCTCGAGCCTTTGGGCTCAGATAAAATGCTGCCATGTGAACGTAGCATATGACATGGCCAGTAAACATTTGTTATCTCTTCAACTTAGCCATAAGTCTATTCATTTTATCAAAGTCAGTGACAACATCAACGCCTCCTCCCCTTCTCTATTCAACATAATCCTAGTGATTTGCAGCTTCCTCTTTAAAGTAAGTAGAATGATATGGCTATAATGATAGCACTCAAGTCATACAATATCACTATGTACATTTATTTCATCGTATAAAACACTATTTTAATGATGGCTGGGCTGCTGAATTACACATCATATATTCAACAAATAAATCTGTGAATTGTTGTGCTTTACTAAGAAGTATCTAAAACAGTGATTTAAAGTTTTCATTTGAGATGAGGTAATATTTGATGTAAGTGTCAAGTGTCCCGATCCAAAAATTAGGTGATCGTGAATATAATTTTCCAGAAGACAGAAAGAAAATAATATATTGCAGATACCTGTTTAAAACGTTTATTAATGACTACGGTCACATTATCAGCATGTAATATTAGTGACCTATGTCATTATCAATCTGTAAAACTTTACCTACAATGTTGACTCATCTTCATAAGTGATTGCAGCAACCTTTATGTAAACTTCAGATCTCAGTGACCTATCAACCTGTGGTCCCATTGATCTATGTCAACCTGTGATTTCACTGACTTGAGTCTACAGGTAAACTCAGTGACCTATGTCAACCTGTGATTTCACTGACTCGAGTCTACAGGTAAACTCAGTGACCTATGTCAACCTGTGATTTCAGTGACCTATGTCAACCTATGGTCTCAGTGACCTATGTCAACCTGTGATTTTTCTGACTCGTGTCTACATGTGATCTCAGCGACTTGCACCAAAGTGTGGTCTCAGTGACACATGTCAACTGGATCATGTCATCTTAAGCAACCTTTGAGGAGAGTATGATCTTAGTGAGAGACAAATGTTTTCACCACACAAGATAATGAAACTAAACGACTACATAAACTGAAAAAAAATATATGTACATAACAGATGATTGCACATGGCAGTAATAATGAAATGTTGATGCAAATAATAACCAATACAAGATCATATATACAGAAGTACAAGATTAAAAAAAATACATGTACTGTATTTTGCTCATTAGATGCACATTTACAATAGAAGCCGAAAAAAATACCTTAATGGTAAGCTTGATCATTTAAAAAAAGGACATTTTGATTACAGACACGCCTCTGTCATTTACGTGAGCACATGGGCTACTGATACAGCAATACAGTACACATTTGAAATTTATTACCTAATACAGCTAGCTATGTGGACCAGGCATACTGACAACACAGTCAGCCATGTGTGGACCAGGCACACTGACAACACAGTCAGCCATGTGTAGACCAGGCACACTGACAACACAGTCAGCCATGTGTAGTTCAGGCATACTGACAACATAGTCAGCCATGTGTGGACCAGGCATATTGACAACACAGTCAGCCATATGTGGACCATGCATACTGACAACACAGTCACTCATGTGTGGACCAGACATACTGACAACACAGTCAGCCATGTGTGGACCAGATATACTGACAACGCAGTCAGCCATGTGTGGACCAGACATAGTGACAACACAGTCAGCCATATGTGGACCAGACATAGTGACAACACAGTCAGCCATGTGTGGACCAGACATAGTGACAACACAGTCAGCCATGTGTGGATCAGGCCTACTGACAACACAGTCAGCCATGTGTAGACCAGGCACACTGACAACACAGTCAGCCATGTGTAGACCAGGCACACTGACAACACAGTCAGCCATGTGTAGACCAGGCACACTGACAACACAGCCATGTGTGGACCAGACATACTGACAACAAAGTCAGCCATGTGTGGACCAGACATACTGACAACAAAGTCAGCCATGTGTGGACCAGACATACTGACAACAAAGTCAGCCATGTGTGGACCAGGCATAGTGACAATACAGTCAGCCATGTGTGGACCAGACATACTGACAACAAAGTCAGCCATGTGTGGACCAGGCATAGTGACAAGACAGACAGCCATGTGTAGTTCAGGCATACTGACAACATAGTCAGCCATATGTGGACCATGCATACTGACAACAAAGTCAGCCATGTGTGGACCAGGCATAGTGACAACACAGTCAGCCATGTGTGAACCAGGCACACTGACAAAACAGTCAACCATGTGTGAACCAGGCATACTGACAACACAGACAGCCATGTGTGGTCCAGACATACTGACAACAACACAGTCAGCCATGTGTGGACCAGGCACACTGACAACACAGTCAGCCATGTGTGGACCAGGCATACTGATAAAACAGTCAGCCATGTGTGGACCAGGCATACTGACAATGACAGAACTACATGACATGGTTAGCTCTGTACAAGCAAGCAATTAGAGGCTCTGAGCCATTCATAAATTGCAGAGATAGATAACTGGGAATGTGTCCTTAAACCCCACAAATTTCTGTCTAAACACTGCCATATTCATATCAGAGCAAGTGAAGTTTATAAAACTGTAAGCCAGGATTTAACCTTTCAACAATAGCATTTAGAATAATCTTAAATAATGAATACAATTTCTATGAATTATTTAAAAACACTGATATTGAAGATTGATTACTATGCCCTCACAAACAACAGTGCCAGTTGTAATTTGTTAATGATGGTGTGGTAAAATATCATGATTATACTGCGTAACTATGCAAGATGTAGAATAGTTTGTTGAAGGCACCATTATACACAGTGATGCATTGTATGTATATAACAGGTCAAACTATTTTAATTTGTAAATGTCTTCACTTCTATGCAGCTAACCTTGTCCATATATCTCTCGAAGTTTTTCACAAGATGGCGTTCCCAAATTCTGAGCCTTTTCATACAATTTCCTATCGCTGAAATATTTTGCTTTGTAAAACAGATTTTCTCCTGCAAATAGAACACAAAATAGGATTGATAAGTGACAATAATCATCATTTAGGATTTCCATTGCTCACCACCCACCCCCTTCCCAATTACGGTCAAATCACAAAAATAACTATGCACCCACACTTGTCACCATGTTTGAGGGCAAGAATCGAGAGTGAGTATCCAAACATCACCCTCCCAATGACGGCCAAACTACAAAAATAACTACATGGATGCAGCAATCCCAGTAAAAACACCAACACTTGTCATCATGTTGAAGAATCAGAGGCGAGTATCCATATATCATGACCCAAAATATTTCAAAGTCAAAACATCCAAGTAAGGACCACCATCATATGACTTTAGACTTACTTAAGCTCCATAGATAATACACATAGTCTAGGTGCCACACTACTAGAAAGACACAAGCTTGCAACTAACTCCAAATAACCCTCATTCTTGCATTTACTACTGAGCATACACTATTATAAACGCAATGAATGATTTCACTTACTATAAGTTTGTTCTTTCCAACAATTATTTCTAAGATTTGAAACGTGCTCTTCTTCAACGATTCGGTCAACTTCACGGATACGTCCTTGAAATTCTTTTACAAAATCTTTCTGTGGAATCAAATAAAAGTTGAAAACTATAGAATGTGTGGCACTAGTGGTGAAAGATTGAAAACTGAACTCTTCAAATACTTCTACAGATCATAAACATAAACTGACCTTGACATAGTACTTTATTTCTAAGTTAAAAGTTTTTCTTTCTTCTGTGAATAACCTACAAATAATTAACAGCAATAATAATACAATAAATAACTCAATGAGAATAGTCAGAATATATTGATAAAATTGAAGAAATGCTTTACTTACCCTTTAGGATTTAAAGTATACGGAGGTGCTTGTATTAGCTGACTAGATAAGAGTGATAATACTACTAAGACAAGAATTGGTAAAAGCTGTATCATATATGCATAGGATGCCTATTAAAAAAAACAAAAAAACATTAATTACATGTAGAAAACAAGAATACTCCCTAAAGTGACCCAAGTCTTGTGATCATATATCATAGCAGATCTTGACTGTCTCAAAGTCGCATTTCCTATGTGGCAAACCTCAAAAAATTTTCCTGATTGATCATCAGTAACATTTTTTATCTTCTGTTATCAGTGATGCACTGAAAACTAACCTGATGCCACCATACAGAAAGGTGATCGTCATGACACAGCACTTTGGCACACTTGGCCTATGAATGGTCTGATAATGCCGGTGATGCTAGTCATCATCATGATACAGTACCGACACTAATTCTGATCATTTAATGGCCTATTACTCATTACAGAATATGTAGGTCAGCAAAATGGATACAATGCTGATTTTCCATACAGGACCTAGTTAGTGTGAATGTACTACTGTAAAACCATTTATCCCGGTATATTCACTGGCATTTAATTTCACTATTTTGATGATTTGAGCAATTTCACTTGGTTTTAAGTTTACCAACTTGGCAAGAAAATAATTGTCATCTCACACGTTCACATGAATATGATTTTATGGATTTTTACAGATAATCTAGCGGATTAGTGAAAATAGCAAAATTAAAACGCAGTGAATAATTAATACTTCTACAGCATTTACATCTCTTTGTATTCATATAAGTACTAACCTCAGTAGGCTGTGATTGTCTGTGTGCTTGACGCTGTCGTCGTCGGTGTACATGTACACGATTAGATGGCATGCCACCGCCAAAGAAAATATTAAATAATTCTTCCGCAGAAATATCTCCTACAATGAGTAAAAAGACATTAGAAATTAATAAGGAATTTGATCTATAGCATTGCAATCTACTATTTCCATTTTACATTTTCAGTAGTAGCTAAAAGAATTTTAGTTGAGCATCAGCCAAATTAAAGCGCAACTCTGCAATCCTGGGGATTAAAGTGCATCATGAGAATGGCCCATCCATCTTTTGCTATGGTTAAAATAAGTCACATTTTATTGATTCAGTATGCAACAAATGCAATTTTTGGTTTATATGTGCTTCTGAGAGCAAATACGGTACAGATATCAGTATTACTGTTACAGTACCTTCAAAACCCCGACTGAAATCCCAATCGTCGTCATCATCTTCATGATAATGGTGGTGGTGATGATGATGATTTCGTCGCCTCCTTGTAGTAATTTCTTCTTCACTACCAAATTGATCATATCGCTTCTTTTTTTCAGTATCACTCAAAACACCAAAAGCATTCCCAATGGCTGAAAATGAGTATTACACAAATATTAAAAATCTACAACCAAAGTGAGTATGAATGAACTGTGGACCAGTGTACCCTCTAACAGGACTTATTTTGTACATCTCAAATAAAAATGGAATCCCAAAAATAAAGTAGGTTCAAACACATGAACACATAAATGCTTGGAGTAAAAATAGAATCCCCAAAATCAACTTATCATCAGCTGGTTCAGTTAAAATTAAAATGTATGTCACTACTGTAGAACACGTCTTTTTCGCGAATTTAGCAAGAGAACTGATTCGCTAATTCAAGATGTCGCTAATAATGACTTTATTATCAATTCAAAATGGCCACCAAACAAAGAAATCAACAATAACAAGAGAGATTCGCTAAAATTGCATGCCGCTTTTTCAACATGTTATACAGTATATACCGGTACATCACGAGGTACAAACAATAATGTTGTTGTCCCTGATTTTCTTTGTTTTACACTTATTTTGTTTATAAAATGTGAAATTCAAGGTCACATAACTACAGTAAGGTGTTTTTCAAGATTAAATTATCAATATATAATGTTCTGTTACATCATTTGTGCATTAGAGAATAAGCATGACTAGATGCATCACAAAAAATCTATGAGCATCAGTGATGCATCATATCAGGTTAGAGGACATAGCATAATGAGCATGGTACACATCCAAAAATATTGTTCAGAGAAGAGACTCTCAAATTGTCGGAGAAGCACTTTCATTTGAATGAAGATACCAACAATTTCTCAAGAAACAGATGGGGAAAAATGATCAAAATGTTCATTTTTGCACTGGTTTCCACGGTAAATCAACATTTTGCTTTGTATGATCTTAATATTTTATAACATAAAACTGACATTTAATTTACTCAGTGTGATAATAGTTTGTCATTATTTATATACAATAGGAAGTTTGCTCCCATAATGCATTGCATATAAGCACAGTAACATGCTCACTGATGCCAAATTTAACTGAAACCTGTCTTAACTACATGATATTGATAAACAAGCAGCCTGTCGGCTGAGATAGCTCCGCTGTTAGCAATGCACATGGCAATTAAAGAACAGAAGATATCATTAGAAAATGAACAAATCTGAGAGAGGTCCACATGTAGTACCTAC